GAGGCTGCCTCTCCCCTGAGCTTTTTCATACTGAGGGAAGACTTGGGGAAACCAGGTATGCTGGAGGAATGAAGCAGGACCCTGATCCTCCTGAAACTCCCAGCAGTAGATGACTTTCTTGCCTACAACAGCAGTCCTCAGCGGCCACAGAGAGTCAGGGAACTGGCTGGTCATCAAGAGGAAAATAAACCCTCGATAAGAGTTTCCTACAGGTTAACATTTAAACTCACTTATGTGTAACTTTTCTCCTGTGAAAAGACACCTGTAAAAAAAAAAATTTTTTTTTTTTAAAAAGGACACTCACGAAGCAGTCAAGTGGATCAAAACATGTGGAAACAGCTGCCAGATAATCATGCATGAAACCAAATAATTACAGCATCAACCACAATCTTATCTATAAAGTAATTATTTTCTTTATTTAAGTTAAAATTTTCAAGGATGGTTTCCATCTATAAAATGAACAAAGGACAAGCTCTGTACAGCAGATTTTTTTTAAACCAACTGAAAAGGATTTCCAAACTATATTTTGAAAATTTGCAAAACAAGCTTACGTGTACCATCATTTTTGCTTTGAAGACGATAAGAAAAGTTCTTTCAGAGAAGACTCCATCACAATTGGATTCAGGGGTTCTTAGGAATTTTACTTGTCTGAAAAATGGGCTCATAATCCCGATACTTTAAAAATAATTAAATCACAGTAAGTAACTTTGGCACACAGTCATGTAAACATATCTAACAAAAGGATACAACCTCTTTTCTGTTCTGTGCCCACGACACATACAGTGATGCTGTCTGTTGTACAGCTCCTATATTAAGACACACCTGCATAGCTTCCATAGGGGTTTAGAGAGATATTTCTGTTTCACAATATGTAGGATGACATTTAAAGACTTGGTTTGCAATCAAGAGGGGGGCGGGATTTATAAAAATTAAGACTTTTTACTAGTTATCCTGCTTAGAGGTAGAAATCAGAAGAGTCAACATTATCCAGACTCACTCCTGATTTCAGTTAGCAGTAGCTTGTCCATTTGCTAAGATCCAAGTCATAGAGGGGAATGCAGCATAGTATGAATTTAGTGCACCTTTTAAATTCTCTTCTGTCAGAACAATTAGACCATAATGAATTTGCTGCTGAGATCAGTCTTCAAGAATTCAAAGTTTATTCTCAAGAGTAGCAGCAATCCCCACCATGACTGAATCACATCCTCGGCAAACTCAGCTAGTTTCGGCCTAATATAAGCTTAAAACTTAGGTTGACCTAGCTACGTTGCTCAGGGGCGTGAAAACCTGACACCACAGAGGCAGAGTTAAGCTGATGTCAAGGAATTATGATGATTGGAATAACAGAGACTTGGTGGGATAACTCACATGACTGGAGTACTGTCATGGATGGTTATAAACGTTCAGGAAGGACAGGAGGGCAGAAAAGGTGGGGGAGTAGCACTGTATGTAAGGGAGCAGTAGACGCTCAGAGCCCGGTACGAAACTGCAGAAAACCTGAGTGTTCTGGATTAGTTTAGAAGTGTGTGCAACAAGAGTGATGTAGTGGTGGGAGTCGCTATAGACCACCAGACCAGGGGGATGAGGTAGATGAGGCTTTCTTCCGGCAGCTCACGGAAGCTACTGGATCGCATGCCCTGATTCTCATGGGTGACTTTAATTTTCCTGATATCGCTGGGAGAGCAATACAGCGGTGCATAGACAATCCAGGAAGTTTTTGGAAAGCGTAGGGGACAATTTCCTGGCGCAAGTGCTGAGGAGCCAACTAGGGGGCGCTTTTCTTGACCTGCTGCTCACAAACCGGGTAGAATTAGTGGGGGAAGCAAAAGTGGATGGGAATCTGGGGGCAGTGACCATGAGTTGGTTGAGTTCAGGATCCTGACGCAGGGAAGAAAGGTAAGCAGCACGATACGGACCCTGGACTTCAGGAAAGCAGACTCGACTCCCTCAGGGAACGGATGGCCAGGATCCCCTGGGGGACTAACTTGAAGGGGAAAGGAGTCCAGGAGAGCTGGCTGTATTTCAAGGAATCCCTGTTGAGGTTACAGGGACAAACCATCCCGATGAGTCGAAAGAATAGTAAATATGGCAGGCGACCAGCTTGGCTTAATGGTGAAATCTTAGCGGATCTTAAACATAAAAGAAGCTACAAGAAGTGGAAGGTTGGACATATGACCAGGGAAGAGTATAAAAATATTGCTAGGGCATGTAGGATGTTATCAGGAGGGCCAAATCGCACCTGGAGCTGCAGCTAGCCAGAGATGTCAAGAGTAACAAGAAGGGTTTCTTCAGGTATGTTGGCAACAAGAAGAAAGCCAAGGAATGTGTGGGCCCCTTACTGAATGAGGGAGGCAAACTAGTGACAGAGGATGTGGAAAAAGCTAATGTACTCAATGCTTTTTGCCTCTGTTTTCACTAACAAGGTCAGCTCCCAGACTGCTACGCTGGGCATCACAAAATGGGGAAGAGATGGCCAGCCCTCTGTGGAGATAGAGGTGGTTAGGGACTTTTAGAAAAGCTGGACGTGACAAGTCCATGGGGCCGGACGAGTTGCACCCGAGAGTGCTGAAGGAACTGGCGGCTGTGATTGCAGAGCCATTGGCCATTATCTTTGAAAACTCGTGGCGAACCGGGAAGTCCCGGATGACTGGAAAAAGGCTAATGTAGTGCCAATCTTTAAAAAAGGGAAGAAGGAGGATCCTGGGAACTACAGGCCAGTCAGCCTCACTTCAGTCCCTGGAAAAATCATGGAGCAGGTCCTCAAAGAATCAATCCTGAAGCACTTACATGAGAGGAAAGTGATCAGGAACAGCCAGCATGGATTCACCAAGGGAAGGTCATGCCTGACTAATCTAATCGCCTTCTATGATGAGATTACTGGTTCTGTGGATGAAGGGAAAGCAGTGGATGTATTGTTTCTTGACTTTAGCAAAGCTTTTGACACGGTCTCCCACAGTATTCTTGTCAGCAAGTTAAGGAAGTATGGGCTGGATGAATGCACTACAAGGTGGGTAGAAAGCTGGCTAGATTGTCGGGCTCAACGGGTAGTGATCAATGGCTCCATGTCTAGTTGGCAGCCGGTATCAAGTGGTGTGCCCCAAGGGTCGGTCCTGGGGCCGGTTTGTTCAATATCTTCATAAATGATCTGGAGGATGGTGTGGATTGCACTCTCAGAAATTTGCGGATGATACTAAACTGGGAGGAGTGGTAGATACGCTGGAGGGGAGGGATAGGATACAGAAGGACCTAGACAAATTGGAGGATTGGGCCAAAGAAATCTGATGAGGTTCAATAAGGATAAGTGCAGGGTCCTGCACTTAGGACGGAAGAACCCAATGCACAGCTACAGACTAGGGACCGAATGTCTAGGCAGAGTTCTGGGAAAGGACCTAGGGGTGACAGTGGACAGAAGCTGGATATGAGTCAGCAGTGTGCCCTTGTTGCCAAGAAGGCAATGGCATTTTGGGATGTATAAGTAGGGGCATAGCGAGCAGATCGAGGACGTGATCGTTCCCCTCTATTCGACATTGGTGAGGCCTCATCTGGAGTACTGTGTCCAGTTTTGGGCCCCACACTTCAAGAAGGATGTGGATAAATTGGAGAGAGTCAGCGAAGGGCAAAAAATGATTAGGGGTCTGGAACATATGAGTTATGAGGAGAGGCTGAGGGAGCTGGGATTGTTTAGCCTGCAGAAGAGAAGAATGAGGGGGATTTGATAGCTGTTTTCAACTACCTGAAAGGGGGTTCCAAAGAGGATGGCTCTAGACTGTTCTCAATGGTAGGAGATGACAGAACGAGGAGTAATGGTCTCAAGTTACAGTGGGGGAGGTTTAGATTGGATATTAGGAAAACTTTTTCACTAAGAGGGTAGTGAAACACTGGAATGCGTTACCTAGGGAGGTGGTAGAATCTCCTTCCTTAGAGGTTTTTAAGGTCAGGCTTGACAAAGCCCTGGCTGGGATGATTTAACTGGGAATTGGTCCTGCTTCGAGCAGGGGTTGGACTAGATGACCTTCTGGGGTCCCTTCCAACCCTGATATTCTATGATTCTATGATTCTATGACATAAGCCCCAGTATAGACACTGCTAGGTAAATGGATCAATTTTTCCATTGACCCAGAAAACTCCCTCTAAAGCAGATTTGCTACAGTGACAGAAAAACCCCGTACATTGCTATAGCAAGTATCTAGCGTCTTTTGTGCCCGTAGCACAGACATCCTCAAAGGGTATGGATGTGGAGAAACCGAAGGCTGAAAACAAGTTGTTTATCCACTGCATGCCACCTTGAAACAGACAAATGCCCAAGGTTTTTAACTGGAGGAGATAAAAGGATTGAAGGGCAGGGGAGGAAGAGAGAGATCCCTCCTCTTCATGTATTTGTAGGAGAGTTGGACAGAAGGGAGAAGCGCTGATTCAGTCTCTTCCCTAAGTGTTCCTGGTACACCCAAAAGGACACCGGTGTCGCTCCACAAATGCATGTTATGCAACTCCAACTCATACATCAGACAGATTTATGGGCCTCTTATTTCAATGTCTGTCACTGCAAAGTAAAAACCATTTTGCATGGAGAGATTCCACTTACTGTACTAAATGCAGCCAGAAAGGAAAGTGCAGCTCATGACATACTCTACTCCCAGAGACCCCGAAAAAGGAAAAGAACACTGTCATAGTACGGTTTAGTAACAATATTTCTAAAACTCTCTTTATAATCAGTCCTTAGGCTTTTGAGATCCATTATCGTACCAAACTAATTTTTTAACTGCTCATCTCCAAAGTTATCAGTGCAGGGTTGTTGCCAGCACCGATTCTTGCCAGCATCTTTCTCTCTTTGCTTTTTTTATTTTATTTTTAAAACAAATGCTTCAGTGAGCTTAACAGTTTGTATAGTCTAGGCAAACATAAGCAAGTAGGTCAACGCTGGGGTCAAGGTAACTGTGACAGCATTGCTTTAATACAAAAATGTCAATTGGGCTGAAATTGTAAATTGTATTTGTTCTAAGGTTAAAAACACCACTTGGCATCTGCTGGTACCCAGAGTAGAGCCTGGATCAGTTTCAACAATTCTGTTTGAAGGAATAATAATAAAAAAAACCCTCAAGTAGGATACCCCATAGCAGGTTTATAAATTAAACAAGTGCAACTCTGAGATATCATGTAGCTGCTGATCCTGGCAGATTAAAATTTATGATGATCTTGTGCTATCTGTACACAGTGATGCTACTATTCTGTCTTATCCTGACTCATTAAGACAAAGAAATTACGCTGATCAGGGTCCTGCTAAAAAACAAACTGTGCTGAACCCCAATGGCTGCACCTGTGAAAGAGCTGCACTGCTTATGTAAATTTTTTTTAATAAAGGAAAAAAGTATTTTAAAGACCAAGTACTAGAGAAATGTTCAACATAAATATCAAGTACAAGTTTACAGATACCCAGGGCACATGTACTGAATTCCCAGTCAGAAGAGACAATCCAAGCAATGATGTGTGCAGATCCATCAGTTTGTTCTGCTGTTTCCGCTTCCTCCTCCTGCGTTCCACAATCTCCAAAGATGGTGAAGTGCTAAGAAGCAGGTCCAGTTTGAAAAGCAAAAGCATCCAGTGTTAGCATGAACAAGACACACCTTCACAAAGTTTTGTTCTCTCAACATTCCAATCCACTTTCCGGTTTACGTATGTTAATCACTTGGTTGGTAATTACAAGATGAGGAAAACTCATAAACAGTTGGGAACTGATAAAATATATATATTATATATATAATATATATATTTAGAGTCCATCATAGAAAAGTTCATATTCAAATATACCAATTACACATGGAAAAAACCTTCAAAATGACACTTCAGCTTCTGGAAACCACAAATGAGGATTTCTATGTAAATGGAGATTTCAATTTCTCCTAGCAGTTTATATTCCCCCACTCTCCCTCCCCCCACCCTATTCCCTTCCCTCCTTCTGCATGTTAAGATCCATTTTCTACTGTACATCAATTGTTTCTAGGGATGTTAATCATCTGCTGTGCAAGTACTAAACTGAAGTCAGACAGGAACTGGTAAGTCTTCACACCAGAAGGGAACTTTGCTGCACTACGTTCAGTGAGATAATTGCAGTGTTCCACGTCCCCTTGGTTCTCTTGTGTTCGGCTTTGTTCTCTCCTATTTTCAGACGAAGATGGAATACTGAGGTATATAAGTTCCGTGGAAAGTTTAAGAAATATATCAGTAATGCAATCAAAACTTTGCCCAATGTCTAGGAAACAGGATTGCGTTGTGTGTGTAAGCCCTTCTACTGCTGTAGATTAAGTGTGAATTTCCACTGTTGCGACAGAGAAGGATTGCAGACCTCAACGGTAAGACCTCCATTTTTGGCATTTCGGCTGTCTAGACACAGATTACTGCCAACATGCCTCAGTTTAGAGTTGCTCTCAATTTGCTCCCATTTCTGGAAAAGAAAATAAAGTAATGAGCTATCCAAGTGTGGATAAAAATGTGTTTCATATCCTGCCTTCCTAGTTCTCCATCCTCAAATCCCTTCCTGGCCTCTGTTTGTGGTAATTCTGAATACTGAGACAATAGTTTAGATACTGTCCTTTAAGACTTGTCCAAATTATCACAAGCCATGCTAAAGCAACCATTAATCCAGCTAATACTTTGTACTAGAAATGGAGGTTACACAGAGTCATTTTGTCCAGCTCTCTCCTCAAATACATACAATCCCAATGCAATGCCAGGTTAGAGGCCTGCAAAGCCTGCAAATGTGTTCCCCCTGACCTGCGGGACATAGAAATATCAGCACTAACTTCAGCTCCCCCCCTCCCACAATGTTTTCAAATTGTAATCTCAAGAATTGATCCCCAAGACGGTCTTTCAGAGGTTGTGGAAACCATGGCCATAGATCCCTCAAATTTTTGGAATCCACCTAATTAATTTGTGGCTGTTAAAAGCAGCACTGGCCAGGCCAATGCTGAGGACTGTTGTCTGACTGACCAAGTATGGGACTCAGAACAAGGGACACCTGTGTTGTATTTCTGGCTGACAGTTTTCCCACTGTGACCCTTGTCAAGAACTCTCTTCCTTGGTTTCCCTATCTGTTAAAATAGGGATGATACTTGTCCTGCCTTTAAGGGTGGAGTTTGTGACAAAGTTGGTAAATACTGTAACTAGAATGCACACAAACCCTCTGACAGATGGAGACCTAGCAGGTCACAGCCTATTCAAAGAACTGACCTTTGCCAAATTTTCTTAAATATTGGCAACTGTGCATAGACTCTGGCATAAGCAGAACTGGTCTCCTCTCCTGGATGAGAAGGGTTGGGCTGACAGAGGGAAGGGAGATACCTGAAAGTTCTGACCCAAACATATTTTGTAAAACATGTTTCGTTGGTCCCCTAGTTAACATTCTCATTAAATAGTATCTCACAGAAAGCAAACTCCCAGTCATGAAGTGTTTGCAGAATGGTTGCTCCGTGAGCACAAAAGCACAGAGGCTCGGAGGAAAGAAAAAGCCATGGCTTTGCAGAGCAGACTTCTCTATGACGATATGAAAGGGGTTTGCTACCGAGATGACTCTGCAAATGTGATTTTACTTGTGCATGGCAACTGGAAGACAAAATAACTGTGCTGCTTAATAATGCAATTTGTTTAGGGAGCCTGGTGCTCTCACAAAGTGCAGTCCTAGGTCTTCCTTCATTTTTTGCCTTCTCCCCAACTCCAGAAAGGCTTTTCCTTGTAATATTTTCCTTTTAAATGATATGTAAGACATGTCAGTTCTTGGTTGCTGAGGGAGAGGGAATTGAGCTCTATTCTCTTCAGAGACAGACTGCCACATGTTCAGGCTTCGCTGAAATACGAGCTTCAAAAATATATTATGGATCTGTCTCTGAAATAGTTTTGATAGCGTAGACCCATGCAGTATGCACAACCGCTGCTGGGCTGACCTACTTATAAGGCAAGGTTGAGGAGGACAGCTTTGTATATTGAGATTACATGGACAAAACCTCTAAATGCACACCCCCCCTCTTATTGATCTCTGCTCCTTGCATTTACGATTATATTACCATTACACTGTTTACTATTATACTAACATCTAAGCTGTAATATATGTTGGCAATTATTTGTTAGGTCTTCCTTTACATTCTACTATATTAACTTATGATAGTTTCACTTAGGAACACAAGAAAAATATGCACTTGCAATGTAAATAAAAAAGTCTCTAGATTACACAAGTGCTATGAGCACTTAACATTCTTGTTGTTGAAACAGAGACAGACAACACGTATCAGTAAAAATCTAAACCAAATATTCTAGAGACCCGACTGCTGTAAACATGTTATACTAAACTGTTACCTCATACGGACAGATTTAGTGCATTTCTCATTGGTTTTAGATGGGGAGAGGAAGGAGGTCATCTGAGCGCAAAGCTGCAAAAGACCTCTAAGGTATTTGTGAGATGTTCTCACTAGAATTATTTGATGGAGGACTTGGAGGGAAAAGGTTTACTGTGCAGGTGTTATTGTAGCTTTCCACCCATATTTCGTAATGCACTTTAAGCAACTGCATACTCACATACCTTAGTAAAAAGACTTCAATAGAAAATAGAGCCAAACGCAACCCTCAGTTATACCTATGCAACCTCAAAACTTCATAGGGGTTTCAAGGGTGTAAATGAGGGCTCAACTTGGCCTAAATTTGGACCTCCTGGCCTCCCAGGTTACAATCTTCAGAAGGGAGGGGTTACACGCTATTTTCTCCATCTAGAAGCCATGGTCTCTGGAATGCGGTTTGCCTTTACATATGCCTGCATGTATCTTTAATCTTTCCTCAGTTAAGGTCATAAAAAGGAAACAGTCTTGAGCCTTTGTTGTTTCAGTGTTTTAGGTTTACCTAGTTTGCCAGCATTTAGATTCTTGTGGGCACATTGCCTTGATTATTAAAATAATGTTTGCTTTAATACCACCAAGAGACCTTAAAAGAGGGGTCACTTTTAGCAGGCTACCAAGAGATTTTGACAGCCCTCTTCTAAATATCTAACCTCCATATAATTTAGTGGAAAAAATGTAGCATCCTTACACTTGTTCCACTAATACTGTCTCTTTTCCACTGGACTCCTTTCTGAGTTTCATGTCCATCTCAAATCGAGTTAGCATCAATGCCTCTCTGCAGCCACACAAATGGGTGAAGCGCTCAACACACAAGCACAGCATCACTTCATTTCTACTGCAGTTCCCAACTGTCCTGCTGGCAGAGTGTCATATCTGCATCCTGATACATACACACGTGGGGCAGGGAGCAAACTATTGGTTTGTACAGGCCAAGAACCTCAGCAGGTTATGCATGTGTGCGCGCACACATGGAGATTTTTGATTTTCCAGTAGAACTGCTTGCACAGTGAGTTACATTAATACATTATGTACTCACCTGTCTACTGTCATTTTCTCTGCAGCCCTGGAGTTTTATTAGTGAACTAGGTGCTCGGTCCACAACAGTAAGGCACAAATCCATATGTTTCACTGACTTGTCCTTAGTTAAGGCCCATTCCTGGAAGACAAGGAAATAAAATGAATTATATAGATTTGTATATATATAGTTGTGAACATAGAAAGGTGCAAAAACATATGCACACATGCTGAGCTGGCCTATGTTAGACTCCTGTAAAAAGGCTCAGAAGAGACTTTCTGTAACCAAGAGCCCCACTTCGGATTTAAAGCATCAAGTGTTTGAAGAGTGCTTTTTCCAGAGTTTTAAAAAGTATAAACTAATATTCCAAACTGACAACCTTTACTTATGACTGGTCAGATTCAGAGCCCATTTTAGCTGGAACCATATTGAAACATGGTCCTCTAGAACCCACAACGTAGCTGAGGACTAATTTACTGTGAAATTGCATCTTGGTACATCTACACAGCCCACAGCAGGGAGCCTCCCAGCCCAGGTCAACATACTTGCAGTTTGGAATCTGAAGCCCCTCCACCTGCCAAGGCTTCAAAGCATGAGCCTCATCTTCAAAGAGCCATCTATGCAGCTATTTTTAGAATGCTAGTGTGGGCCCCGCCAACACAAATCTGCCCACGTGGTCTCAAAACGCTGCATAGACATCCACTCAGTGCCTCAGCATAACTCTGGAGAAACACTGTTGCCTTGTGCTCCCTCTGCTGGCTTTAATGCATGATAGGATGTAGCTATACACCTGGCTACATAAAAGCCACCTTTTGTTTATATTACACACACGACAGTACATTAAATGAAAGTTTAGATTGCAAAATACCTAAAAGTTAGGAAGTGTCAGATTTACTGTTCCCCACTCAATAATTCTGCTTACTTGTTCTTCCTACCATCCTGGGCACTAAATGAGGCAGGGGAGCCGTGGAAAATAATCAGTGTAAATGTTCACATACTATCATAATACATATGCACAAGAGGCCAAATTAAGGTTGCAAGGGCAACTACAGATTGACATTTCCTAATTATCAAGTTTGACTTTGCCACCTAATTATCAAGTGGATTTTGCCACCTAAATAAATTTTCTTTTAAACACATTTTTGTATGCAACTTCCTAGTATTTTCTTAAAAGGAAAAAGGTAGGTTTGGTCTCTATGCTCCTGTGACACATGACCAAAAAGGGTTAAGCAGCTTGCTGGCTAATTTACCCAGATTCAACCTTTAGAGACAGGTTAAAAAAAGTATGTAAATGGTAATTAGGGCCATTCCATGTGAGATGGGCTAGAACTTTGAAATGCAAACCTGTATTGTTAGAGAATGATGTTAGAGGTGATACTAATTGTGTTTATTTATATCTTGTTAGATGTTAGCCCTGTAAACAGACAGTTCCTGTCTATTACTATAGCTATTCAGAGATCAGAGATTGATTCAGAGATCAAAAGGGAATATTAACATTTAGATGAATCTTGGGTGAAATAATGTCATTGTCTATATCAGTGGTTTTCAAACCTTTTTTCTGGTGACCCACTTGAAGAAAACTGGTGATGCCCGTGACCCAACGGAGCTGTGGATGATGGGTTTGGGGTGTGGAAGGGGCTCAGGGCTGGGGCAGAGCGTTGGAGTGCAGGGTGAGGGCTGCGGGGTGGGGTCGGGAATTAGGGGTTCAGGGTGTGGGCTCTGGGCTGGGGCACGGGCTTACCTCCGGCAGCTCCCGGTCAGCGACGCAGCCGGGATGCAGAGGCAGGCTTCTCTTCTGTCCTGGCACCGTAGACCACGCTGCGCCCCGGAAACAACTAGCAGCAGGTCTGGCTTCTAGGCAGAGGTGCGCAAGCAGCTTTGCGTGGCTCTCGCCCACAGGCACCGCTCCCCCTCCCCCATTGTCCAGGAGTGTGGAGCCAGTGCTTGGGGCAGGGACAGCACGCGGAGGCCTCTGGTCCCCCCGCCTAGTAGCTGGACATGCTACTGGCCGCTTCCAGGGCCAGCGTGGTGTTGGAACAAGTAGGGACTAGCCTGCCTTAGCTGAGCAGCAACGCTGATGGGACTTTTAACGGCCCAGGCGACAGTGCTGACCTGGGTCACAACCCACTGTTTGAAAACCACTCATCTATGGCCTCTTTAAAGTTTGTGATAAACGGGTTAATGGATACATTACCTTATGTTAATCCAGGTAGTTAATTTCCAGTGATGTATAGGAAATAGAATGTTACACTTCAAAAGCCTATTGTTCACCCAGGACTGTATGGTAAAGAGGCTGCCCAAAAACTGTATAAAAATTCTTGGGACCTGATCCTGTCATCTCAGATCTGCTTGATGCTTTATGCAGGGGAAGCTTGAGTTGTAAGACTGAGATCTCCAGTCCCACGTGGATCAGCCTGGATATGAACATTGGACTATAACCTATTGACTAATTCTGAAGGAACTCTTTGCAACTACAAAGCTCACCATCTCTACTATGAAACTGACCTCAGAAATGTATTAATGTCTGTATGTATCCTGATCTTTTAACCAATATGCTCTCTCTCTTTTCTTTAATAAATTTTAGTTTAGTTAATAAGAATTGGCTGTAAGTGTGTATTTAGGGAAGATCTGAAATATTCATTAACTCGGGAGGTAATGTGTCTGACCCTTTTGGGATTTGTAGAACTTTCTTATATGAGGAATAAGATTTTCAGTAATCCTCATCATATTTAACTTGGATGTCTGGGAGGAAGCCCAAGAGTGGGTTGCTATAAGGGAACTGTGTTTTGGCTTCTGAGTAACCAGTGAGGTATTACAGAAGCTATTGTATGCTGGTTTGGTAAATCTAAGTATTGGAATATCCACCAGCTTTGGGGTTTGTCTGCCTCATTATCTGCAGTTTGCCCTAACTGAGTAACCTCAGTGTGGCCCCCCGGGAGCCTGGTCACAGCTCCTGATCACTCCCCATTCTCTGGATTCCTTCTTCCTCCCAGGCTAATTCCCTCTACCATTGAAGGCTACCTCTACACTTTCAATTCGCTTCTTAATTAGGCTTTTCAAGAATAAAGTCTACTCCTGGTGCCTGAGGAGGATTCTGAGCTGTGTAATAGGAGACCTAGTTGCACAGGACTCAATTTATTAGCCATAACATTAACAACTATTTTGCAAGCAACACCCATGACCGTAATAGATTAGCTGATTAGATCATCAAATTTTTCATTTGATTTATCTTCTGATTTAACTGCACTTTTGGCATGCATTCTCTCTTGCAACTCCACTAGATTAAGAATGACTCAATTTCCTCATGAGAATACACAAAAAGAATAATCAGAATTTCTCCAATCTCCTACCATTACCAACTATTACCATCATACCGATTTAGTAAACAGCTGCTAGCAATTCATCAGCTAGAGACATTGAAATTATACATCGTAGGTGTAAAGGAAAGCACAAGAACATTGTTAACTCCCCACCATCCCTTTGTGAACCACAAACCTACTTAAAATTCAGACTCCAGTTTAAAACAAACTAAATACTCAAAGTATTTTTAAAATGTGTAGTTTCAGGTAACGGAAACGTGACATTTGCTGGATATTTCCCTCCAATCCTTATATGATTAACTGCCATTGTTTAAGAGCAAAGTAAAAATAATGGTCATTTGTTAGGACTTTGATTTAATATTATGTAAAGGAACCAATATTTTAAAACCCTCATGTGAATTTCTAAACATCAAAACCATTGAAATGTATACCCTCAGAGATCCACATTGATGCTTAATGGAAATAAGCAGTACCAGCTAGCTGGTAAAGCTGGTCACTTCTGTGAACCATGTAGACTCTCTAAAAATATATATCTTTTTAAATCTTCACTAATTTTCTGACTCTAGTTATGTTTCAGGAGGGCTCCAATGAGCTCTAACTGAGGCTACGTCTACACAGTGCCCCAGAATGTACTATGTAGATATGAACTGCAGAGCGCACCAAAGTGCTGCAATCTAACTTCCCCGTGTGCATGCTGCTGGCAAATTAAAAGGTACCTAAGCCTACTTACCATAGTCCACTTTCTAACAGGACTATGTTAACAAAAGCTAGGTACTTTTTAATTCACACCTGCAGTGTCCACAGAGGTAGAAGTTCCAGAGGAACTATGGTGGCATAACATCATAACTGGAGAGAAACAAGGATATTCCTAGTCAACAGTTGAGTGTTAAGGCTCAGATTGCACTCCCTTTGGAAAGTTAAAGCAAAACAATTTTGTAGGCTTGCACTGTCTGACAGCCTTGGCATTCTAGATCAGTGGTTTTCAAACTGTGGGTTGCGACCCAGTACTGGGTTGCGGAATGTAAGGCACTGGGTCATGGCGACTCTGGTCAGCATGCCGACCAGGCCATTAGAAGTCCCATTGGAGGTGCTGCCCGGCCCCTTCCTGCACCCCTGGCCCCACCTCATAGTCTGCACCCCCAAACCCAGAGCCCCCTCCTGTACCCCAAACCCCTCATCCCCAGCTTTGTTGGGTCGCGTGAATATTTTCTTCAACTGGGTTGCCAGAAAAAAAGTTTGAAAACAACTGCTCTAGATGCTTTACAGTTAAGTACTCAAATCGCCCTAATGGGTGACTCAGTAAAATCTTCCCCCTATTGTCTGCATATAAAACTTTCCTTTGCATAGCTGTTACTTAAATAATAAAAGCCTAATTAAAACTGAAAAACCTGCTATCATTCCTTGAAGATTACCAGACACTGACAGACCGAGGGGGCAAGTTAGAAAGGAGAGGGTGGAGTATTCTTCCAGGCTCCAACCCCACATTGCCAGAATGAGGCAATTCTCACAGTAGATTACACAGATATTCAAAATAAAATCCTGCAGCTCTTCGGAGCTCCACTGGGCTTGTTGGGCTTGGATTCCCTTGGTTGAGCTGAGATGCCCCAGTGGGCTTCCTTGAGTGTGGCTCATTCTTGATAGGCAAAAAGATACGGAGGGATTTCTCTCAAACTCTACCCTAGGGGTGGCCAACCTGAGTCTGAGAAGGAGCCAGAATTTACCAATGTACATTGCCAAGGAGCCACAGTAATATGTCAGCAGCCCCCCAGCCGCTCCCCAGCGCCTCCACCAATCAGTGCCTACTCCCCCCACCCACTGCAA